ACTTATTTTATTTCCTTATTTTCTTGGGAAAATGTTTCTTCAAACAATAGCAAATCTGTGATTCGTAAAGATAACAAGACAAAAAGAGAGAAAACAAAGATCTTCAACCACCTGTTTCCCTTGTAAAGCCAAAAGTAAAAAAGAAGACATCAACTTAATACAATATATTATACTTCTTCAAGTATGAAGCTGCCCTTTATGTCTCAAACAAAGCTATGTTTCCTTCAGTCGAGAGTGGCTTCCTTTGAGGGTAAACGAAAGGGGCAAATTTGTTCTTTGGTATGATACGTTCCACAAACAAGCACTGGCACAACGTGGTATCTTTGAAACTAATAACGTTATGAGTAACTCAATTACAAGTGCAAACGCAAACCGTTTTTTCAGACCCACCTCCGGAACAGAGCTCCCCATTCAGTACATGTGAAGGAAGCAAAGGTTACTTCAAGAGGTCCTACTCTAAACATTTATTTGCCTTCGCTGTTGCCCAGGGGCGCTGTTAGTGAGTGGAGGGGATTGCCGAGCCGCTGTGAGTCTCTGATACAAATATACACACATCCTTCTGGTATTATTATGAGGTCAGCGCAGGGCTGGGCTGAGATCTGTATGTATTTTTGTCCTCTACCGTTTGAATAGCTTCGAGAATGCTCCAATCAGAAGGAATGAGTAGACCAGTGTGAATGTCAGGTTATTGCAAGAGGCAAGAGGAGAGGGAAAGTGATGGAAAAAGGAGGTGTATGAGGGTGGAGAGGGAGGTAAAAGAGGAGGAGGAGGAAGAGGAGGAAAGAAAGAGAGGGGGGAGTAGGCGTAAAGAGAATACACTAATAGCCTTACTATCAAGGCTAGCCCGGGCTGTGAGGGATACAGCATCCCAGCAGAAAGACCGAGACACTCGATAAAAAATCCCCTCACCCCCCACCCCCCAAAACGGGAATCGAGCTCAAGTCTTCGTTGGGCAACATATAAGTGCCTAGCCACTACACCACAGACGCTAATAAGTCAAAAATATTAAAGCAAAATATATACATTTGCATGTATTATGTGCTTTGCTAGATTTCTACAGGTTTGTCTCCTTCTCTACTCCTTTACTCTTTCATCATCATCATCCAGTGCCAGATCTGCGACAGACATCGGCGATCATGGATCTCCATTCATTCCTTTGCTCGGATGCTCTCAAAAAAGCTTTTACTTTTTAACCGTATATAAATCACATTTAAATAGCGCAGAATCCCGCTCAAAAGCAAGCTCTCTGCCCCTCACAATCTATAAATTCCTATCACCCCGCCCAGCGGCCCGCCTCCCATTTGACCTATTTAACACTCGTGTTTACTGCGGTAATAAACAACATTCCTTCAGCACCGGAACGCCTGCATCTCACAAGCCTGCAATAAACGAAACAGTCAGCCAAAGACATGGATTTTTCAGGTAGACAAATAATTATATTTTAGTTGGATTGAGTAAAAATAAGCAAAACAACAGTGTGACGGTCATTTAGTGCAGGGACAAAGCAAGATAGACTGACAGACAGAAACGACAAGCGGAAAGAAAAGAAGAGGAACCCACCAGTGACGCCCTCCAACTATCCGCACGTTTTGGGATTTTAAAATTATTTTTTTTGAACAAAAATAAGACCTCAAAACCACTCTGAAATTCCCCGAAGACTGAATTTAATTTCTTGTACAAATAAAAGACACAATAATTACTTTCAAAGTTTTAAAGTATTCCCGTAACTTAATTATTATATGCGTATTTTTTTTTCAAAAAAGAAGAAATCCAACTGTTGAAACCTTAGCAATGAAATTTCGAAGCAGGCACAAAAGTGAGGTAATTACATTTCAGCCCCCGAAAAAAACAACTCAACAGCGCTTCTACCGCAGCCTTTGTTATAAGGAGAGTTCCAACACCACCACGACGAAAATTTAAATTATTAAGAGGCGCGCGTTTGTGGGGAGGGGGCTGATTCACAGTCAGGGCTGACCCAGGCTATGAGGGATAGACACAACATCCCAACTGAAAAGCAGAGACACTATATTATGTACTTGATAAATATCCTACCAATGTGGTAATTAAACTCGGGGCTTTCGCGTGTACACCAAGAACCTGCCTATCCATTACAACTAAGCAACGCAAGGAAAAGCAAAAGCTAGTGTGGCAATGGACGTAGAGGGACGTACGTGAAAGAATTTGACTTCACAACACAGGCATTACTGGGTCAGGCCTACGCCAGTTAACAGATTAACACAACACCAGCACTGATGATTGATAAAGAAATAGGAGCGAGCAACACCACGGCCCAGGCTATAACCACCTGCATACAGGAAGAAATTATTCCCTCAAAAATGGAAAGGGAGAAAAGTGGAGGTGGAGAGGGGGGAAATGGGTG